CAAAAGTAAAAAAATCACCTTAAATAACCGTTTCCTCTCAGTAAGTCTCAGTAATCCTTTCATTAATAAATAATCACACCTAATACTAATTTGTAATAAACAATAACAAGAGGCCTAAAGATCCTGTCACTATAGTAATACAAGTACCTACCAATAATCACTTCCAATAGCTATCTCATCAATTCATTCCATGAGAAAATTATCACTCTCAATACCCACTTCTAATAACTAAGAACAAACCTCAGGGATCCCTTAGTTATTAATGTAATCACTTCCAAAAACTGAGAAAAACCCGCAGAGATCCCTTCGTTATTAATGTAATCACTTCCAATTCTAACTTTCAATAACTAAGAACAACCCTCAGGGATCCCTTCGTTATTACTGTAATCACTTTAAATTTTTACTTCTAATAACTAAGAACAACCCTCACTGATCTCTTCGTTATTACTGTAATCACTTTAAATTCTTACTTCCAATAACTAAGAACAACCCTCAGGGATCCCTTCGTTATTACTGTAATCACTTCCAATTCTTACTTCTAATAACTAAGAACAACCCTGAAAAATCCCTTCGTTATTAACGTAATCACTTCCAATTCTTACTTCCAATAACTAAGAACAACCCTCAGGGTTCCCTTCGTTATTAATGTAATCACTTCCAATAATTAAGAACAACCCGCAGGGATCCCTACGTTATTACTGAAATCACTTTAAATTCTTCCTTCCAATAACTAAGAAGAAAACTACCTCAGGGATCCCTTCGTTATTACTGTAATCACTTTAAATTCTTACTTCCAATAACTAAGACGATGGGTCCCAGGAAGCCCATGACGCCGATCTCCTGGATCATAACCATGAGGTAGGAGTCTGTAGGCGCGTACGCCAGCACTGTCATTATGAAGCCTGAGATGAAGAGCGAGAAGCCCAAGTACGAGAAGATCATGAGCGGCCGCTGCCCGATCTCCGGCTGTAAAATTCAATAGAAATTCATTGGAATTTATTGTATATAAATATATATTTCTTGCAGTGTTCTATAGTTCTATTATTATAGAAATTATTTGCGTTGTGTTATCGATTGAAGAAGTTTATGGTTAGAATTTAGTCTTTCATGAGCGGTCTTTGCCCGATCTCCGGCTGCAAAATTCAATAGAAATTCATTGGAAGTCGTTATATTTAAATATATATTTCTTGCTGTGTTCTATAGTTCTATTATTATAGAAATTATTCGCTCTGTGTTATCGGTTGAAGAAGTTTATGATTAGAATTGAGTCTTTCATGAGCGGTCTTTGCCCGATCTCCGGCTGTAAAATTCAATAGAAGTTCATTGGAATTTATTGTATATAAATATATATTTCTTACAGTGTTCTATAGTTCTATTATTATAGAAATTATTTACGTTGTGTTATCGATTGAAGAAGTTTATGGTTAGAATTGAGTCTTTCATGAGAGGTCTTTGCCCGATCTCCGGCTGTAAAATTCAATAGAAATTCATTGGAAATTATTATATTTAGATATATATTTCTGGCAGTGTTATATAGTTCTATTATTTTAAAAATTATTTGCGCTGTTTTATCTGTTGAAGAAGTTTATGTATAGAATTAAGTCCGTTTTCAGTGTTAGACTGAAACTGGTAACGAATGTTCAACAATGGAAATCATTTTGATAATCAAATACGGTCTAAAGTGAGTAAAGTATTCCTGGTTTTTAACATTGGAAGGCTATTCTAATAACATTTATTAAAACCAACATTTATATTAATTATTTTATAATGGTTACCGATTTCGTTCACGCCCTATGAATTGTTTTTCATGTACAGCAATTTATGCTTGAACAAACACAACTAGTGAAAAGTAATTCAATTACTAACCCTTCCTTGCAGTTTATCGTCCATGGTCCTTTTTGTATTTGTGTAGATCTGGTGAAAAGAAAAAATTATTAGAGAAATTTCATTTTGTTCTATAAAATACAGACAGTGTCACTCTGGTAGCAACTTTGTTCATCTTTATTTTTTACACACGAAGTTTTTACAGTTGAGCATTTTCGCAAAAATTAGGTTTGAAGCAGTTTTGTTGACAAAGATAGAGAGACTACTAAAAATTCATAGACATTCATGCTCATGTTCGACTCGAGAAGGATTTTATATTTGAATCAAAATACACGTTGGGTAATTTCATTTACTGTTTGTTCAAGAGATGAAATAATTAGATCGTTTGAAAGTTTGTGGCGTCTTCAAATCGTCGGAAGTTTTACTGTAGAACTTCACGCAAAATGTTCAAATATTCAATGTTCATTCTTACCAAAAATTATATCGAGTCTATGATATAAGGAGCTTTTGAAATGCGTCATAGGACGCACTAAGAAGCGTACCTCACTCATCTAATATCGTTCACCTTCCTGTTCATTTGAAAATGGATTCAACTTAATAAGAAAATCGAGAAAACAAAACATGAATAACAGAGTTTTTGACATAAATACACGAGCACAATCTACCGAAATAATAAAGAATTGCTTTCACAAATTGTGATTGCATTTGATGTAAATGTTATTACCTCAAAAAAGTATGACACCTCAGTTCAAGCCGTAGGTTTTAATGGTACTGACTGTATGAGTCAGGCTGAAGCAAGAGGTCCGGGTGCTGATAAGCGAGGAAGCTTGCGATAAGATAACGCTGGCCTGATATCTAACGATAGTTAACTGCCAGAGTAAGACTGGTCTTAGAAGGAATTGTTTTATGGTTGGTTCCGTTGAAATTATATTATATACCCTAATAGAGATGGTAATAATTAAGAAGATTGATGTACTGTTTCCCAGATATAAAATTATTGTGCTTCAATCGATTGAATTAACAGACCAGCATATACACCTATATATAGCATTTTAAGTCGAATGGCATTAAATCTGAATTTTCACTATAAGACGGTAATTTTAGCCTTGAAACAAAACCGATTTCTTGTGATAACCGACGCAATTTTATGTTAATTAAACACAGACTTTCTAGTTTCAGCTCTCTCTTTCAAAAGCTTTTATTGCATTTATCATCTGATAGCGAGCGTGCAAAGTATTCATCGGTCTCGATCATGAATAAGAAAAAGGCCATTGCTAAATATTAAGGGCATAAAGGATTGTCTGAGTCACACCCCAACTTCTCAAAGGACCAAATCAGTAAGTTTAATAAATTTAAATCTGTCTTTTAATAACACATCCTAAAATCACAAAAAAACGCGCTAATGTTTTTCAGCTAAGTGAACATGATTATATTAGAGAGCTATTACGCTTTCACCTGATTATTGTGAATCATTTTTTCATTAGATTTATTGTAATTTCCACACAACCAGCTTTGACAAATTAATATCCATTATTATTATGAGTCTACGAGTATATAAGATTTCGTGCATGCAGCTTATTACCTCAATCACATAGCGCCCAAATATTACTTTAGGCTGACCAGCCTACATGTTTTAACCATTGTCACTGATATCATGAAAATTTTTCAATAGATAAATCGGTTCCCAGAGTAATTGGATTGACTCGCACAAAAATCAGTAACATTTGAAATAATTTATTGGATTGACTCGCCCAAATATTTGTGACTGTTGAAAAAAATTATCCCGCATTGTGAGTTCAAAGTTTCCGTTGACATTTCTTATCAAAAGCCGAGCCGACACGTGTGACATTCGATGGCTGAGTCACGATAAAGGACCGTGTGAATGATTGAACTGCGTGATGTCAATGTAAATTTATTGAAATGGTGAAAAAATTATTAATAACATAATTAAAATGTTACCTTTTAATACTGTTTTTTTTTTGTTATGAAAGTGTTTTAGTGATTTTTCTGTACTTTTTTTGATAAAAGATTACAAGCCATTTGAAAATTGCTCCTATTAGTCTACTTATTTACGAATGATTAAAAATTTCATCTACGAAATCGTGGTGGTTTTTCTGAAATACAGAATTTTCTTGAAGAAACTTTTTTCACCATTCAATCTTAAAACAGGCCATAAATATAGAAATGATGAATGAATACGGGTAAAAATACTTGAATAGTTCACTGAAATAACGAGCAAAAAATTAAGATAAAGATCAGAAACTTGCTTGGGTTTCACTAACGAATTAATATGATATATTTGAAATTAGACAGTTTTGCAAGAAGTGTGAAGGTTATTTAGTTTCGTTGACATAATCGATTTTTAATTGATGAATTTTTTTAATTAGCCTCATGAGAAAGAGCGTTTAGCTGCGTAACTTGCAGAAGAAGAAGCGTTGTTTGTTAAGATAAAACTGCTGATAAGCCCGATTAGATATGCATGACTGCCGAGCTCTAGTTCCCCTAGCCGCATTCGAGTAGTCAACGTGAAGGTGATACAGAAAGTGCACTAAGTGAGAATTCTTCATTATTCGTATGCACTTTACAATGTGAATTGTTACTGTATGTGTAGGAAGTTGAGTGGGGATGAAATGAAAGAGCTTCTCCACAGATTTTTAGCTTCTTTTACGCTTGGCAATCTCATATGTTGGGAAAGAACAATTTTTCCTAAAAATTAAACTAGCTTAATTATACTTGTTAGTAGAATTCACAGACATTTTGTGAAAATCGTGGAAATTAATCATTGAAATATGACTGGTCATCACAAGCTTATACGAATCAAAGTGTTTCCAAAAATGCAGATGACAATAGGTGCTCGCTCGAGTGTCCTTAAATGTGAACAGAAAATAATTGTTTTTATAGGCAATGACCAGTTTCCAAAAAATTAAATTTAAAATGTTCACAGACATTCAATTAACTGTGTGGTGAATGGATTTGAAACTTGGAATTATGTGATAATAGACTTTGATTATTAATCTCGACTGACAATAAAAAAAGTGAACTGTTAAATTCTAAAATGTGGAAAATATGTTACATTTTTCAATCAAATCTGACTCTGTGATTATTTAATTAATCCCCGTTTATGTTTTTGCTATGCATATACTATAATCGTTGAACACTTTACGTTTTCATTTCCAGTTTTTGATTAGAATAATTTATCCCAGCACCCGTAGTCAAATTCACACAAAATTCACGCAGACGGAAGAAAGTACAATTCTCCTTCATAAAATGGAGGAAAAGACGAGACTTGGATGCCTGTATTTCAAAGGACTCGCGATAATTTATATTTCTATTTCACTTTATTCGCATTCGGTCGGCTGCGTCACCGTTGAGAACAACGTCTACAAAGACGTGTACGTCGCTATACGTTCAGACGTACCTGAGAGCGAGTGCGAGGCAGCCGTTGCTAACCTTGAGGTGAAGTCATTTTTCTTAACTTGTGTTAAAGATTATTTTGAAATTTATATATTCCTAAAAAATTTATTATATTAAAATAAATAATAGTAAATTATGCCGCTCCCGCTAAATTTTATGAAGTCCATACCATTAGATAGCAATTTTGTTTGAATGTATAGTTTGATATCTGTGTATTAAGTTCAATATTTATTAGTTCTTAATAAATCAATCATTTAGATAACTTGTTCGTAATCATTAATTCAAGGGAATGAGCCTATTGCCGTTTGATGTATATCAGGGTCGGATTTCAAGGTGCGGTTAATTGGTGTACTAAACCATCCAACAAATCAGGCTAATTAAAAAATAATTTAAATAACGGTTTCATTGTAAAAGATTTCCCCACACCAATGGAAACAATTGAAATATCTAATTTAGTGAAATTGCCAGAACTTAATCAAAATTGCATGAATTTGATTGAAATTTCAGGAAGCTGATTAAAATTGTTTGAACTTCTGAATTATATTGGTATTAGCTGGAATTTGATTTTTATTAGCTGGAATTGATCGAGATTGTTTTAATTCGATTGAAAAATCTCGAGATTGATTGATCTATATTGAAATTGTCGTAACTCGATTAAATCTGATCGAACGTAATTAAAAGACAGATTATTAGAGTTGAATGATTAATTTTTTCTATTTTCGAATACAGTAATATATATTTAATCTATGCAACACAATTTTAATCAAATATTTATTGATATTACCAACTATTAGAACTATTTTCCGGTGACATCAAATTTACGATATTTCATCTAATCGTGATGCATAATAAAAAAATTAGATCAGTACTCACTGCAGTGAGTGACAGAAAGCGCATTTTCTCGTCGACGAAAACGTGAAGTCACGGATGGACGGACGGACAGACGGACATGACGAGCACAATAGCGCCTTTTTAGCGCATTTTCTCATTTATGGAAAAAAGCGCTATTGTGCTCGTCATGTCCGTCCGTCTGTCTGTCCGTCTGTCCGTCCGTCCATTCGTGACCACGTTTTCGTCGACGAGAAAAACGCGCTCTCTGTCACTCACTGCAGTGAGTACTGAGTTATATTTTTCCATACATGAGAAAATGCGCTAAGAAATATAAAATGCCGGCCGCACAACAAACTTTCTTCTTTCCTCTTGTATCTTCAGACAGCGTTCAACGAAGCCTCAGGCCTGCTCTTCCAAATGACGGAGTCCCGCTTGTATTTCGACAAGCAGCTCTACGTTGTGCTGCCTTCGCACTTCAAGACCTGCGGTAGACACTTCAACGAGTCGCTCTCCGCAGCAGCGCCCGCTGGATACTCGTACCTTCGAGCTCCTATCAGGTCAGGAAATTTCCTATAATTGTCTATAAACATTTTATTTGTCTACAAACATTATATAATTGTCTATAAACATTTATTCCCACCAGATATCTGACGTTAAATCAGCTTTGAAACAGTGTTTTTTTTTGTTTGCTTCAACGTTAACTCAGTGTCGCTTCGACGTCATTTTCCCGGTAGGAATGAACATATATGCAAACATAGCCCACTGTGACCCAAGGCATTAAACCCAAGGTTCCAATTCCAAAATACGAAAATAAGCCGTTGTTTTCTTGAATTGATTAAGAAGAAGATCTCTGAGTTTGAATTATTTTTTTGTATAAATTTCAGATTTGAAGTCTGAAATTGTATTAAAATTTTTACAATTAGGCTCCCTAAAAATATAAGAGCGCTTCGTGCGCCAATCCGCGATACTTTTCACTTTAGCCCAGCGTTGCACGGGATGGATAATCCTTGCTTATTATTTGAGATCCTCATAAGTTCGGTGGCTGTGCACTTCCGAAATGGTTAAAGACATTTTTCAGTAGCAAATTAAGCATGAGAAAGAGCTGGGCAATATTCGTCAATGACTAATGAACATTTGTGTATCTATCATGGACACATTATGGGAAATTATTTTAACATCTGTCCAGCTGCTCAGAAATTTAACCAATGACATTTACAATTAATTACATACTTTTTGAAAACATGCCAATCCTTGCTAGTTGTTTTTTTTTTAATTTGACGTGGTTTATATTTTCAATTCCTTAAACCTGCCTTTCTATCAACAAACGCCAGATGAAGAATTGTTCGATCTTCAAAATTTAAATCAATGAATGCTCTGGTCATTAATTTTGGTTATTAAGCTATTAAGCTGCAATATAATACTAATTTTCAATTACGTTCTCACACAGAATGGGTAGGACACACGGCATTTTCGGCGACGATATCTGGACGCAACAGCCGCGGCAGTGCGGCCAGAGCGGTGACTTCATTTCCATGGCTACGGCCAGCGTAGCGAACAATACTTACGCTGGTCAGTGATACACTTCTTTAGTGTCGTAGTCTGTAGTGATCTCTTTTCTCTAAACGCAAGTTCTGTTATTTAAAGTATTGAAATAATTTTTAGCTCTGAATTTTTTGCCTTGAATTTTAAGCCCGAGTGTCTATTTTGAATCGAAGACACAAAATTAAATTCAATAAAAATTAATTGAAATTATAGTAGAATTTGGATATATGTAATTTCTACTACCTAGAATCGATTTACCCAGAGATTAAATTTTTGAAATTAGAAGCAACGAAAACTTTATCATCCGAATCGTTAACACATTAATCGCAAATAAAAATTTTTCAGTTGGAAAGTATTGAATTAGTAACACTTTCATAGTATCCAAATCGTACAATTTTGGCTAGGCCGATATTCATATAAATACGGCGCAAAATTAAATTAAAATTTACCAGCGCTCACGAATAAATGTTAAATATTTATCACAATTTACCTAAAAAATTTTGTTTCAGATACGTTTTTCGGATGTAACCGATTGATAAAAAAATCTATAAAATTACAGACAGGATATCTATAAATAAGCTGAAAATAACCCAAGTGTTGAATAATGAGCTAGAGAACAATAATAATAATTATTGTTACAGCGCGTGACCTGGTGAAGGAGTGGGCTAAGTTCAGGTGGGGTGTGATGGATGAAGAAGGCCATGCCGGGGACTCCATCCACCCTCCAGGATACGCATCCTATGATGGCTCCTACTTGCCCAACGCATGCGTCGACAGTCCGCTGTCCTTCTCTCTGTTAGACACCGAACAAACTAGTTAATTTTTGTGATCAAATCTTATTTGAAATTAATATTTACTGAAATTATAACTAAATGCGTGTTACACACCAAACAAACTTCTTAATTTTTGTCATCAAATCTTACCATAAATTAATATTTACTGAAATTATTACTAAAACTTAAATGAAATTATTATTGCCCCTAATTCAAAATGCTTGAAATTTCACACGTGCGTTGGTAAACATGAGTCGCAGTTTTAATCATTCAACCAAGAAATATTAGGGCATAAAATAAAGAAATAAAAAAGTCACCGTGAACACCGATTCACGAATGGAGTAAATAATAATTACAGTGTATATGTTACGAATTAAGTTAAGCTGTTAAAGACGTGATGAAGGAAGAAATAAATTTCCAGTATTCATTTTATGCTAGTGAGTGAAATGAATATAATTATATTTATTCAATAAATTCTCCATAGTTCAAGGGTATGATAATGTTTCATTGTTGTCTATGACGCTTTCATAATCTCTATTTTTGCGACGTAAATAATGAGTGAAGAAAGAACGCACCAACAAGAGCCAGTCGCTGATTTTCATCGAGGATTTTGTAAATCTCTGGCGATTCAAAATTCAAAAGTTTGGTTCCCATCTAGGAAAAATGTATCCACTCGTAGTGTCACTTTCATCAAATGTGAATGAGACTTTGTCACTTTCCCAGGTCAGACTGCAGTTCCGAACAAGATTGCATAATCGACCCCGAAATTAATACAAACCAGACCTCGTCTATTCTATCGGTACCACATTTGCCGAATGTGAGTTGCGAATTTTGTTCTTTCTTTGGATAAACTGTGCCATAAATAGGTTGTTCAACCAAAACTCTTAAAAAATCCTAACTTCTCATATTTTTACAATGAAATACTTATGATTATCTTTGAGATAGGCTTCAAGTTATACACTTATGCTATTTTATACTCACTTGCTATTCTCTCCTGCTTGCTACTCTCATTTTGCGAATTTCAAATTTATAAATAATAATTGTTCGTAGATTCAATCGCAGGTCAATCTCTAACTCTGTCTCAACAAAACCAGAAATTTTTATCTTCCCGAGATATAATTTTCATAATATTCGAAATCTTCCCATCAATTATTTCCTGATTATAATTATATATTATATAAAATATAAAAAACATAATATAATATATAAAATATATTTCGTTGCAGGTGGTTAAGATGTGTACCGCTGCCACACACAACAAACATCTGCCGACGAAGCAGAACTTGCTCTGTGCTGGCCTCAGCGCCATGGAGGTCTTCCTTCAACACAATGACTCCAACGTCAGGTAATATTATATTATTTAACCCTTTACCACCTAATCCAACGTCAGGTAATATTATATTAACCCTCTACCGCCTGACATGAGTAACCGGAGCAATATTGTCACGCGCCTACTTCCCAAAAAGGATACGTTCTAGTGAGCGCAAAATAACTTGCACTGATGGTTACCGCCACGTACAACTTTAAAATGTTCTCTGTTGCGTACAAACGTTCTCAGGTTGCTAGACTTAATAGTTTACGTATAATTTAAGCTGAAAGTTATGTTCCCGGAGAGTGACATACGGCGGTAAAGGGCTAACTCCGTGCATGCGATACAACATTTGTATGCGTGTTATTTGAATGCTGGCAATAAGGTTCCAACTTTCCCAGCATTAATTCACAAGCTCGTGAACAGATCTCCTAGCTCAACCTTCCAGCAAGAAAAAACAATTTTAAAAGATACAACTAAAACTGAGGTATATAATGCAGCTGGTACAAATAAATCCCATCCTCTTACTCTGATCGAAAAAAGAATTCAATTTTATCTCTGATGTCTAATTTCTGCACATGGAAAATAGTTTAGCATTAAATCCTAGAATTGTTTACATGCGTTGCAATTCACGATTTTCCAGCCCTAATAATTATTAGCACTATGCGTTAAGGTATTAAGCTAAATTGCTAGATTATTTTTCGCCTAATTTGTAAAAAAATTTCAACTTGCGATCATCCAATGATAAATTAATTAAATATTATGATTATTAGTTTAACCGTTTACATTTCGATTTTCAGACCCATTACTGGATCATTTTCGGTGCCCTCAATCAAAACTGTAGTGGCAAGAGTGAACCCAATCATTTCATCGATAATTATGGCTGTGGAGTTCACTAAACCAATGGTAGAGGTAAGATCGCTAATATAAAGGCTATTGTTATTCCACACCAAATACTTTTGTCAGCAATTTTTTGGGTTATCTTGTATAATTTATCGCACTTAATTATTATTCTAATCCAGATGCTATTCCTATTCTTCACTATTTGCGCCGATCGGTTTTTACCGCTAAAACATTCATAAGTTGAATTACAGTTTTGTAAATGTGATAAATTTTATTCTATTTTCTCACTGTAACGGAAAAAGTATCACGGAAATAGACACCGATATTAAGGTTTAGTTTTACCGAGCAGTCTTTCTTGTTTTGAGCTTAATAAGCAATTTCATCGAAACATCATTCGAGACTTCGATACATTTTTTTGCAGCCTAATTTCTCAGTCCCATTCTGATTTCGAGCTTCTAACAATGCTCTACAAAAAATTGTCTTTGGCTGCTGCAATTCCAGCTTCAAACTACTTCACCTCTAATTTTATTTATTTCAGCATGGATATGAATTCGAATACGTAATGGACGGGATATGCCAAGCCCTCGAAGCCTACTTACAAGATGGAATTTCATTCGGCCTTTTGCTCTTCCAAGATTCTAAAGTATCGCTCGTCGGCGAGTCTCTACTCGGGTCAGAGCTCGTTGTTTTGAACTCCACAGTGAAGCAAACTATCTGTTATGCCTTACAAGTCGCATTCGAAGAAGCGCGTCCTATTTCTTCTACCGATCGATCTATTGCAAACGTTCTTGGAAAAGCGACACAGGTAAGCAATATTATGTATTGCTCTCCGGATAACATGTTTACCTGGGGAAAACTGTTGTAGGAGTTCTTAAATTAAAAAAATATATAATATAAAAGGTATATATATATATATAGCGCTTTTTAACACTCGGCTAGTTAGTAGGTTCATTTGGCGATAAATAAAATTAAAGCCTTGAAGGTATGTAGATGTGTTACAGCTATAATTAGTTTCAATAAAACTGTTTACAGCTAAAAACTATGTAATTTAAGCGGATAGTTCGACACGTTTGTGATATTATTATTAATTTTGCTCGGGTTCACGATTTACATAATTCCTGAAAAAGATATCTTGATATTGTCATTGTGGAAGGTTTTCAAAACCATTTCATTGGTCCTGATAAAAGTGATTTAAATCAATGGAATCGTATTTGTAATATTGTCCTTAACTACAAGTACTGTCAATACTGTCTACTTATCATAACTATATTATCTTGGTTTATTTGAAGCATACCATGAAACAAACCATAGTAATATGATGCTCTGACTCGTAAATGTCATCATTATATTTAAACTATAACATATTAATATTAATAATAATAAAATATTAAATTGTTTTTCTTACAGCTCCTACCCAGCGCAGGAGGAGCAATTCTGTTGATCACGAAGCCACGGGACGAAACTGACGACGTGAACGACGTGGCGACGAAGGCAGAACTTAACACTGTGTGGCCGCTGCTCTACTCACATGATGGCCAAAATATTGCTTGGTAAAAATTTACCAAATGGTATAATATTATATGGTATATAATATATTATTTAATGGTACATATTACGCCATTATAATGGTATATATTATATTAAATACCATTGAACCTAACACTACAGTGACTGATTCAATATCTCCTTCTTCGAGCGGTTGATGCTAGTCGCCTCTAAGTACTGGAGTCAATTGGATCTAAATCAACTAGCTGAATATACACCAATTTGACAGTGTTCCGCATGAGCAGCTGTTGCGTAAAGTTTTTGGGAATAGAGGGAAATGTACCCCAATGGATCAGAGATTTTCCAGTAGGTAAACGAGAATCTACACCTCAGTCCACTACAAGTCTCTTTTAATAACATTTCAAGAGTTTATGAATATTTTTCAGTGTTATGAAGAATAAGTTGAAAATGTGTTGTTACACTCCGTTTAATATTACTTTTTATGAATACCAATTTGGGAACCAGGTACGAGTCGCTCTCGCAGAAGACGGGATCTGACGCGGTGCTGACGGTTAGACAGGCTCTCAACAATGACGAATGTCAAGCCGTCATGCGGATGGAACTCAGTCGAGCCTTGCAACAAATTCTCTCCAACAACCAAGTGGATGAACTTACACAGGTGAGCTGTTGTGAAGAGATTTTGTCACTTTGTACTACGACTCACATCGGTCGGAGTATAAAGCGCTTGAGCAAAGAAACATTTTCCCATTTCATTTATTTATTCGTAATTCATAATATGCCGAGGCTCGTCAATTTTTTGCCGATAATGGGCTTCAGAAAGATGATGCCCGACATCAGTTGAATAACGGTGTTCAACAAAATTTAAGTAAGCAATTTCAGTTCAACCTAAATTACTTTTTCCAAATTGAGGAATAATGTTAATGTTATGATATAAGTATTTTCTTTACTCACAGTTGAGCTCCCAAGCTTGTTCGTTAACGGGAAATACGAAGACATGTTCGGCGTCCTTCACGATAGACCCTTCGGTTGCGGCTGACAATTACTTGGTGAGCGTGTACTACCCGAAAGACTTTCAATCCATTAATGTCTCCAACGCCGGTGCTGATTGCACGAAACTGCAGTATGACGTGCAAACTGACTCTTCAAGTACGCTCAATTGCTCTTCCTTGGTAAGTTGATGTAAAGGGCACTATTTATACGACGTATGAACTTGCAACCCGTTAAATCACAGTTACAAGATATCTTTTTGAAGCAGTTTGAAATATACCGGCAATCCTAATTTGATATTAAATAATAGTTTCAAAAACTTCTATTTTGTGTAATTTCTTTCATAATCATTTGACACAGAACCGACTACTCGGTGAGCGGTTGGCTCAAGTAGCCAACGAGAAGCTATATATTAAGATAAAACCACAGCATTCTTACTGTTACAGCCTTCGAAGATCGACGTTACATCACACTATGCTACCAGCGCACAAACTATCTATTCTGAAGTTGTGGCCAAGGCTGCAGTCATATCACCTACTACGATCAGCAACATGGGTAAAAGCTCGATTGTCAATGTCGACGTAAACCTGAATAAAACAAATGGAATATACATATGGACGTCTGAGAACTCCCGTGACCTGAAGTTTACAGCTACATCTGCACCAGCTGTCTTCGCACAGGTGATATATGCTTCCGTGATCGCTTTTCATCTAAAATCTAGATGAATTTTCTTTACCGGCATTTAAAAAAAAAGTTCCTAAATCGCCAAAAAATATTGTCTCCATTCCAGAAAGACACCTATGTTAAAGTTTCCTCAGCCGAATAAGAAGTCAATCTCTCTTATAGCGACATAAGGCCTGAATTCATTTCATATCGAGCAAACTTTCTTCTTTGAAAAGCTTCCACAGTCCTCGACGTTGCACTAAGTTCGACTGTTTTGGCCAATACAAATCATATTCACCATTCAAGTGACATTTTCCCAACTAATTTTAAATTTTAACCAAATCCAAGAAAAATATCTGGGTTTTATCATTCACTGAAAGTTACCTAGTTTGTGATAAATTTTGAGTTGTTCGATCGATGATTATAAGCAGCAATAAGTTTCCCTTCTTGCAGCATGTATATTAGAGTGGCTTTTTCAACTCTTGGTTCTCGGTGTGTTGATAGTGCGGAAAAGATACGGAAGTGAAAAAAGAATGAGCGCAAGATTTTAGACATGCACATGTGGATGTCCACATCCATAACTTTTCCGCTCTATTGTGAAACCGAATCCTAAAAATTGGAAAAACGCTCCATTATAATTTGCATATGAATTGCAGGTCTTTGTTGATGGTCGGGAGGTGGTAGGGGCCAGAGTGTCGCTGGCCCTGACGATTCTCAACTCGACGGCTGGCTTGCCTGGAACACAACTTCCCGACATCGTCATGAGGGACACTGGCACGGGTGGTGAGACTGTTGTGGTGAATGTTATTTTTCGTCTACTGATTCCGTTTCTCTTTCTTTAGCCTAAATCTGCGTTCCATTACTTTTTTTTTGTTTTTACAGAAGGGTGTTGCTTTTCAATATCTCAAGCTCTCCTCCAATTAAATCCAATTTTCTCTTTTAATTCAGTTTATTGGCCTTCAAACTTTTTTCTGTATGTGAGTGAATTTTTTTTAAGTTTATAACTCTGTTTTTGATCGTTCGACTTTCACTGTTTTTTACTGTGTATCACACAACTTTAATTTTTACTTTCATCGTCAACGTAAACATTAAAATAGAATGGCGATGAAAAATGAAGACAAATTAATGTTCAAATTGCTCCCATAATCCAAGCAGGTTTCCATATTTTTCTATAACATCATACACTTTATTCATGGATGATTTTCAAGTTTATATTTATGGATTTGAATTAGGAACGAAATAAAATAATTTAAACACACATTTTTCAGCGGATGTCACTGGCAACGATGGAATCTACTCGGCGTTCCTTGCTTTTTCCAGCGGCAACGACTCATCCATCCAGACTCCAGAACTCAGCCTGGAAATAAGCGCCTCTGGACAAGGCTTTTTCCTGCCTGATTCTTGTCAGTGAATAAAATTGTTTCTAAAACATTTGATGATTCAAAATAACTAAATTTATGTCCACTGAACATACTTTTACTTCTAACTCAGGGGAGACAGATTTCAAGAAACCTAAAATAGTATTCATGAAGAATAAACAAAACGATAGAATATTAGAATATAACGGTACAAGTGCAATATCTGGGCTCCTATTGAGCTAAGAAAATCTTTGAAAAAAATTTTTTACACATTGATAAATTAGATAAAGAAATCTTCCTCCGCAGCTGAAGCCTTAGACCCGCCACTGTCTTGCTGCGGTTCATCGTTACCTCTTCCATCAACCTTGTCGGTGACTCCAAAATTGGACTTCAAGTCTTCCATTCGAGGCCGCGTAACATCGCCTCTACCGGCCAACCTGCCTCCAGGGTCCATCTCTGACCTGAGCGCCTCCACTGCTGGATCAGCCGTACGACTTACGTTCACGGCACCCGGGGCTGACTTGGATGCTGGAACTGGTAATTAAATTACATGTATAATTATGTTGTAAAATATTCGTACTGGATTTTATATTGATTGAACGTTAATTTATCAAGCGGACACCGTTCACGACGCCCGGGGCTGACTTGGATCATGGAACTGGTAACTAAGTTAAATCCCTACTTGATTTAACTTGATTTGATTTTAACTTGATTTTTGATACATCACTTGATACTTGATTTTTTAATTATTGAACGTTAATTTATCAAGCAACCTCCGATCACGTCGCCCGGCACTGTTCTGGATGCAGATAATGGAATGATTGAGGTACCAACTAATGATATTTTACTCACATTTCCTAGGATCCTGGTCACAAAGATTCTTTCCTGAATTAAATTTTGCTGAGGACGAGCCATTGAAGATTTGTAGTGTGAAGAAATATTTGTAGAATGTGATATTTTAACGCTTGTCTAATTTGTAATAGTTTGAGCAACGTTAATCTCGTCCAAGACTGGTCCAACAGATGGCAAAATTACATAGCTAAACGACTGAACGAATAAAGTTTCTGCTATAAAGTTATAACATAATGTAAATCATATTGAAATCAAATTATTCGCACGTTAGGCGCATGTTAGCGAAAATAATTCGACTCGGCATGAAATTGTTATTGAATTATTGTACTTAGATATTAATATGTTAAATTGCTTATTCCTCGCCATTTAAACCCTCCTATGAAGTTTGTTTTTAATTTTCTAATTCCAGTGAGCGGATACATAGTGACAACTTTTTCAAGCCCAACCGAGGAGGGTAGAAATCACTCAACACGCAGCGGCATAGTTGCTGCAGGCTCAAGACAGAGCCTGGACTTATCGAAGGATACGGTAGGATGCGACTTGTATCTTGACTACTACATCAGCGCCTTCGACGAGCTCGGTGCTGTTGGTCCTACATCGAATTCCGTGAAGCATCTGATCAGCTGCAGCGCCGGCGAGAAGTCTTTATCGGCAGGAGCGATCGTCGGAATCACGATTGGTGCTGTAGTTTTGCTGATAATTATTGTGCTGATCATATACTTGTGTTGTAATTGGGACAGAAGGCAGCAAACCGGGTTATGGCAGTGCCTCACCTGTTCCAAATCGTCTAACAAAAAGAAAACCACCGCCAAAGATACTCCTTCGAAGTCAAGTCAGAGGCCAACGAGTGTGGAAGTAATTCGCAGCATCGATGATTTGTACACTAAGCCGGAGAAATCCATCACGAAGAAAGCGGGAGGTGGAGTCACCAACGAAGGATTTGAAGGAACCACCAAGAAACCAGCTCCTGTTCCTAATCCAAGACAGAGAAATCGAAATGACAACGATAGCATTGCGTCTTATGGTTCCCGTGAACTCGAAAAATTCAACATGCCTTACGACCTACGTGATTCGACCCTTCAAACCACACTGCCCATCAACAAGGTGGGCATTCCAGTTCCCGGTAATGACGCTAGAACCGATCACGCTCGAACGCCTTACGCCCAGTCACTTAAATCCTCCCCTTCGCCGTCTCAACTACCAATCTACCCGAATTATAATTCAAATTCTGGCATGTTTGACATGGAGCCAAAACAGGCTGGAAGTCTACCGGATTATTCGACCAATTCTCGCGATTCCCCTTACGGTTACGACCAAAGGCGACCTGCGTCTGTGTCGGAACTACGCAAGCCAAGTCCTTCTAATTTGAACACGCTTGTGTAGAGAATTCGGTCAGCAAACATGAACAAGTTTACTTTGAAGACGCATTGACATTACATGATTGCAGAGATCATTCGCCTCTCAGCAGCAGATGCAGAAATGAATTATCGACTCGAGCAATAATTCTAGCCACAATAATGCTGGCATTTCTAAGCTAACATGCGACAATCGTGAACATCTGAATAGAACAATTATATATAAACTTCAACTGTAAATTATTTCTTAATAATTATGAACATTTTTTATCTAATTTTGTCGATCAGGCATTCAATTCAGTACAGTCAAACGAGTGATTGCTCTATATCTCCAAATAATCAATTTTTATCATTAATATCCATGCATAAATACTCTACGTTGCTTGATCGTTGATTCTGAGATGCGGTGAGAGAGAACGTGTGATGTTTTACGTGTCCCAGACACCCATGCTAGACTTCAATAAAAAACGAAATCCATTCCGCAAACCACTTTTTTTGTAGGTCCGTTCACCATTTTGCAAATTCATCACAACTCATTGAATTAATCACGAAAAACACCAGCACAAACTAAATGATTTTATTTCATTTTTATTTTATTGTATTTAATGATACTTTTATTTCATACCACGCTAATGCATTATTTTAGATCCGGGTGAAATGATTGACTTTCGTTCATTTGAAAGTTATTCATTTCATCATCCACGTAGCCTTCCTCCTCAATAATGAGTCGTATTTTTAAGATAATTACATATTAGTGAAGAAGTAGGTGTTCATCTCGGTTCCTGCTTCGCTTGATTTGATTTCAAAAATCTTAATTTTAAGCTACGAATAAAAAATTGTAAAAATTTTCCACCAATGTAAATGAAGTAGACAATTTTTTCCTAAATATTAAGTATGTTATTGCCGGGTGCTGGATTAGATAGAGCTTTATGATAATAAATATCGCTTTGATAGGCGTCGTTGAGGTTAAAATATTCTGTATTTAGTTAAATTTTTTAAGCCTATTAAGATTGTAGATATTTCGATCGGGTAGCTATGTTCTTAAATAAATGTCACGGAAGTTGCCTAAGTAATGAACAGTAATCGATAAACTGAAATTATTCATGAATGCTGAATGTATGTTGACAATGAAGCAGTTCATTCGCAAGTGGCTTAGATAGAAATTTAAAATTTTTCATTTCTTTAGTTTACCTGGCTTCTGCCTATTGCACAATCATTGGCCCCAAAAATTGTCTTATTATTAACTTGATTGTTGCCTAAACGTCATTCGCGGAAATTCTGTTAAGCTATGACATCTCATTCGTCAAAATTATGAATTATATTTTACAAAATATGATAAAGTGCGAGCGTAACAGCCACAGATGAGAATCCGACAGGAATAAAAAATAATCCTCATTGACAGTTCAATATACATAATGTTACAATTATTTTTCAATGAAACTCTACTTTCTGATAAAAAAAAGTTATCCTCTGTTACTTATAAATTGATCATGACGTTGGATAGTAAAAGTTATGATTCATGTAAATTTATTTTATGAGCATTTCTTGTAACCTATTTAAAGCTCATTCAACGTTTCATTTTCCTTCTTCTGCATGAGCATGCGAAATTAATAGAATTTATTACGTAACATTTAATTTTCGAGAGTTCAAGTCATTAAATTCAAAATTATTTTAAAGTAAATAAAGAGAACCGTAAAGTTGATTCAATGTATAAATGAATGGTATTATTGCAGATTAACTACATCCAAAAAAAAGGGTGTTTTTTTTTTAATTATATGTTTTTTGGGGTGTAGATTACGAATCTGAAATCCATTTCCAAAAATGGATTTCAGATTCGTAATCTACACCCCAAAAAACATATAATTAAAAAAAAACACCCTTTTTTTTGGATGTAGTTAATCTGCAATAATACCAAATGAATTATATAGCTACGAAAAAATTAGATTTGGTTTCATTATTCACGGTTATTAACTTCTGGCAGTCATTTTAACCTTGGTTGTTAACATTTATTAGTGTTTATGTTATGTTCCTAATTATCCAGAAAAATGTTATAATTTAGTTTACGGTCTAAACTTTCTATAGTTGTCGTTTTCTTTGAGATAAATATCCTCAGAAAAATATTTCGAATAATAACTGTTATAAATTTGTGGATTGATTTCACATCCCTATCAAGTCCACCTAACTATAAATACGAAAATAAGAGCACTTATTTTAATCATTTAAACAGAATATATTATTTAACTGAAATAATTTTAGTTTCCCAGCAACCCGAATAAAACGGTCCACACAGGAGTCAGTGATAATTAATTACAGTTACAGTGTCAATGATCAATGGAGAGTTGGAGACGAGTTATGGAATTTTGCTGTATTGAAGTAATCAGGAGTATTTGAAAGAAAATTGTATATTGAAACAATTTAGGAAGCTTTTATCCATTTCCTTCCAAAAACAGCATATATTATAATCGCCTGATCAACCGAAATGTTTATGATGCCTGTGGAGTTCCTCTGCACTCTGCAGATGTAATAGAAAAAAATTGCATATTGTTTCGGAGCAAGTTTAAAAATGCTGGAGCAATTTTAATATTCGTAAAAAAGCGCTTTATATTATTCAAAATGGCTGAAAAAATTTGTCATATCGGTGGTACCTAATTTATGGCTAACTTTTTCTGTTTATTCATATCTAATTTGGTTGTTCTAAAGTTATGGTAAATTTTCTGTTACGACGTACATAAAATTCCGTTATATTCTAACTTCAAGTGAGTGATGGAACAAAATATTTTATTGAACTAACGACCAAGTGAATGAATCCACAGGTTCTTGCGTGCACACTCGGCCAAACAGAGAATCGATTTTGGTGGCCACGGCGAAAAGCCGTTACCGACGGGATTACTGCTACGTTCACGCGCCGACTGGTGACCAAAATATTACTGATGAGAGAAGAGTTCTATTTACTTTATATCTTGAACCAAATTTGCGTTCATACCGAGGAAAAGTGGCGTTAAAAGAGTATCGGAAACCAGTTTTTCCAATGTACGAATGGGAACGCCAAACTGTTGAATGCTTCCGTTGATTAGAAACGCCGCGTTCACGACCTCTCTAAACGACCTCTCAATGGCCCGTGTAATTAGAGCATCATAAACAGAGCTATATTATTTGCTAATAAAGTTTTTCTGGCAGCTGAAAATTTAATGAATACATGCAGCTCCCGTTCTGTCCATTCTATAACTATAGCTTTCCAATTGTTGTCAATTTCTTGGTGTTTAAACGATTTTGTCACAATTGAAATATTTTTTAGCAAATCAGACACTACGATTGGTGATTTATAAACAGGAAACATGCCTACCAATCTCTTTTACAATATAATTTTAAAACTCAGTGTTTTTTGGGAAAATTTTGAATTTAAAAGCATGATCTGAAACCAATTTTGAAAATGGTACAAGGCTACAGCGAGAAACAGCAAGGTTCGCTTCCTCCAAATCTGTTCTCCTAAAGAGGACATTTTACGAGGTGATGGCATCGAATAAGCATGTCGCACATTGAAAACAATTTGGGGGAGAACCGCGGAAAATAAGGGAACCGGTACTCGTGTTTTTCTCTCTTTCTGGTTTGATTCCTGTGTGAAAAGTTACCGGAAAGCCATTATAATAAACTTCATTCGTTTCACAAAAAATATGCTGTGATCCAGGAGAAAATGTACACGAGTGAAAGTTTACAAGTTCTCTTTGTTCTTTACCTTCATTGATATTATTTAACTTGTTATCTGGCGACAATTGATTTATGCATGCGTTTCTTTTTTGCGTGTTAAAAGATTGAACCGACTCCATAGAATAAATCAATCTATTTTGTAAAGATTGTTTTTAATTGTATCGCCGAAATTGCTTCCAATCAATTTCCAATAATTATTATACTCCTAGTCCCGGCCGGTTCTCTCCATGGCTCATAATTTCTTCTAACCAAGAACCGAAGACCTTAAAATTCAGAAACTGATTACCATTAGATTGAATTTGTTCCAGAGAAACAGCCCAGCGTCAGAGGCGTACACAATCGAGAGCTCTGCCGTGGCTGCCGTCGCTCTCTGCGCTGCGTCGCGATCGATAGCAAAGTCCTGCCCGCCACGTGGCAGCGCTCTGCTCGTCTCAGGGGGAACCTGCCGCACTCGTTCCTACCGCCGCACACCTTTAAACGCTCACCCTCCGTGTCGCATGCCCTCCTATACTTCGTGGCGAACTACGGGGCTGCATTTGTGGGTCGTGCACAATCCATACACTTCGTGGAGCGTACACAATCCATATACTAAGGAGCTCGGAGCTGCATTCTCGTGTCGCATGCACTCCTACACTTCGTGGTGAACTACTGGGCTGCATTTGTGGGTCGTGCACAATCCATACACTTCGTGGAGCGTACACAATCCATATACTAAGGAGCTCGGAGCTGCATTCTCGTGTCGCATGCACTCCTACACTTCGTGGTGAACTACGGGGCTCGGGGCTGCATTTTTGGGTGGTACGAAATTCTATACTTCTTACGTTCTTAGTGAACTGTGGACTCGGGGCTGAATTTGTAGGTCGCATACGGCATACCCTCCTATGCTTCGTGGTGAACTACTGGGCTGCATTTGTGGGTCGTAGCAATCCTATACTTCGTGGTGAACTATAGGGGATCGGGACTGTATTTGTGGGTCGTACGTAATCCCATACTTCGCGGTGTTCTAAGGAGCCCGGGGCTGCATTTGTGGGGCGGACACAATCCATATACTTCATGGTGAGCTAAGTGACTCGGGGCTGCATTTGTGGGTCGTACGCAATTTTATACTTCGTGGTGAACTACGGGGCTGCATTTGTGGGTCGTACGCAATACTATACTTCGTGGTGAACTACGGGGCTGCATTTATGGGGCGTACGCAATCCATTTACTTCGTGCGTGGTGAACTACGGGACTCGGAGCAGCATTTGTGGGGCGTACGTAATCCCATACTTCGTGCTGTTCTAAGAAGCTCGGAGCTGCGTTCTCGTGTCGCACGCACTCCAATAATTTGTGGAGATCGGGAAATTTAAGAGGCATGATACTGCATTCTGGTGTTGCGCAAGTCCATTAATTCGCGAAGATCGGGAGATCTAAGGGGCTTGGTACTGCATTAGCGTGTTGCGCGACTCCAATGATTCGCGAAGATGGGGAGATCTAAGGGTCTCGACAATGCATTCTCGTGCTACACGCAAACACATAATTTGTGGTCATTCAAGGGGCTCATTGCTGCATTCGTGAGCCGCTAGAACTGCCGCAGCTCGCGTCAATCAAAAAGGGCTCGAAGCCTAATTTTTGTGTTGCACGCATTGCTATCGTTCGTGGCAATGTGGAGAGCTAAGTGCTGTATTCGTTTTTTTTTTGCACGCACTGTCACTTCTTCATTGACATTAAAGGAAGAAGCTTGGTGCTGCATTCATTGCATTATATTCTCCAAATTATTTTTATTGATCTTGTGTCGCTTGTCTACGATGAAAATGGAGATGTTTTTTTCGTTTTTCTGTCAAAGTCTTTGCATTTACTTATCAAAGTCTAGTAGGGCTCCACGCCTTAAAGTCCGGTGTTGTAGTCCTCTTCCTTATATTTTTTGGCAAAAAAAGACGAAGGCAAAAAAATGACTAAAACTTTTTCTGGCAAAAAAGTTTTAGACGAAGAAACAATAAAACCTTCAGGGCAAGATACCTACGTCTTACAACAAAGTGAAGGTGCATGGTGAGACTCATTCATTGCTCTTACAAATTGTGTAATGGATATAGGCTTGTAGTGTTAAGACATTTTGCGACTTTCATTTTGTAATAAAATTATGATTTACCTATACCTTGGCAACATAATCTTTTGTGGGAGGCTGCAGCAGAGTCGATCTCCTCAACACGAAGGCATGGAGGGCAAGGAGACAAACTTGAACACGGAGCGTGTTTGTGCCGTTGGTGAAGTGCATGTCCCGGAATGGACCGACGGAACAGCCGCTATCTATTTCAAGATATTGGAGGCTCAGTTCACTGTGAAACGCATAACCAGTTCCACTACAAAATTTTGCACTGCCTTGACTAAGTTGCCTCCAACCCTTCTAGCCAGACTACCAGCTGCAATCATTGACGCTAATAACTACGAGGAACTAAAAGCAGCGGTTCTTTGTCAGTACGAAGCTACGAAGCCGGAAATTTTTGAAAAACTTATTAAGACTACAACTTTCGGGGGCAGGCCATCCATTTATCTTCAGGAGATTCAGTCCCTCGCCGATCAAGTTGGAGTAGGAGAAGAACTGGTTCGGCATAAGTTTGCCCAATCACTTCCGCCCAACATAGCACCTATCATCGCTTCGCAGAAACAAACTCCACTAAGAGAGCTAGGTACGCTGGCAGACCAATTGATGCCTTTTTCTGACCAGCAAGTGCAGACACGGGTCAATGCCGCAATCCAGCCGCAGAGCAAGCCACAAGATTACGCGCCACGACGCCAACGGGAAAACAATTCTTTTCAACCTCTTGGTCTGCAGCCGTTTTCTCCTCGTCAGCGCCCAAAAGTCTGCCGTGCGCATTTGTACTTTGCAGAGGCTGCTCGTGCGTGTAAACCATGGTGCAAGTGGCCAAACAAAAATAACTGCCGTATCCTTCAAGAGTTGACAGGGCCGCCCAGTTCGAAGCAGAACTCTGCCGTATCCTTCCGCATTCAAGAGTTTATCCCCAGCTAAATCAGACGTTCAACAAAGACGCCTATCCGTACTCACCGAATACATCCATGACGCACAATACATAAAAGGATCTGACAACATAGTCGCAGATTGCTTTTCACGGCCAGCCAACGCAGTTCTGCTTGACGCTTTTGATCTGCCTGCACTGGCACGTCAACAGTCGACAGACGAAGAAATAAAACCACTCGTCGATCGCCTAAAACCATTTCCGTTGGATCAAGACCTTCTACTCTATTGTGACAATTCAACTAAGTGCCCGCGTCCTTTTGTTTCTTCAGCAGCACGACGTTCTATCTTCGAAAGCCTACATAACATCAGCCATCCCAGCATTAAAGCAACAGTGAAGCTGGTTAAAGAGCGATATTTCTGGCCTGAAATGGATAAAAACATTAGAGAATGGTCACGCAACTGCCTTGCGTGCCAGCAATCAAAGATCCATCCCTACACCAAAGGTCAAATTGTGGATTTCAATTTATCATCGGACAGATTTGAGACAGTGCACCTAGATATTGTAGGTCCGCTGCCGATGGTCAAAGTTGCCGGAGATCCGTATTTCAAACCACAACGATATTTACTCACCTGTATCGACAGATCCACCAGATGGATTGAGGCCACGCCTTTACCTGACATCACCGCCACAACCATTGCTTCAGCCTTCATCGAAACTTGGATTTCCCGTTTTGGAGTACCTCTCCGTGTAGTCACGGACAGGGGTGCCCAGTTCGAAGCAGAACTCTTCGCTGAACTGGCAAAACTTGTAGGTTTCCATCGTCTCAGAACAACAGCTTATCACCCTCAAGCTAATGGGATGATTGAACGGGCGCACCGAACCATCAAAACAGCAATGATGGCCCGTAAAGAAGCTTGGCTTCAAGCACTACCAATCGTCCTGCTTGGAATACGCAGCTTGCCAAACGAGTCTGGATTCTCTCCTTTTACCGCAGTTACAGGAGCTAACCTCCTGCTACCACGTCCACTAATAACAGAAACCAACGAGGACTGCTCCAAAGAAACGACAACCAAACTCCAAGAATTGATGAGATCAATCGATTTTCAGAGTTTATCTGAAGGTCGTAGTCACACCTCTACAAAATCATACATCCCCAAAGATCTGCAAACCTGCACACACGTGTGGCTGCGCATAGATCGAGTAAGGAAGCCCCTCGAAGCACCATACACCGGACCTCACCTTGTAGTGAAGAGAACTCCCAAATATTTTATCATTAAAACGGGCTCACTTGAACAAACGGTATCCATAGACCGACTCAAACCAGCGTATTGTCAAGCACCTCAAGATTCAAAGCTGAAACAAAACCCTTCAGTTGACCTGCCGAAGAAAACGGAGCAACCATCAGCCTACCACCCGCCAGTGACCGATACAGCTTCAGAACCAGAAAACCCGGAGCAGCCCGCTCCAGGAACCACTGCAGCTGACCCACCACAGCGAACAACCCGCTCGGGTCGTCGAGTCAATTTCCGCCCTAAAGCCGATTTTATATATTATTGATCATTATGTCTCCGACATCTGGCGGGGTACTACTGTAGTGTTAAGACATTTTGCGACTTTCATTTTGTAATAAAATTATGATTTACCTTTACCTTGGCAACACCGGTAGGAAGTTAACGTCGCGCACAGAATTTTCTCGTTAGTCATTATTGTTCGGCTGATCTCCGCTGCAGGTTAGTTTAAGCTCTAATAGGTTCCTATTTTTTATTGTCTGAATAATTGTTATATTGTATTATTATTTCTCTTCATTCATCTTCAACGACGATCACTTATTAGATTCAATCTTCAACAGATACGCACGTTGCCAAGGGTATTATTCTTTACACTAATTTTACATCTTAATACTTGTATTCAAAGCCTACCTTCTGGTTAATTTGCCTTTCAGTAAAATCTCAGTTCCAGTCTCTTTCATTTCCATTCTTGTTTTACTGTGTGGGTAATGACTGGCACTTACCCCACATGTCTTTAATATAACCTGATTGCCAATCGCATTTTTGTTGTAGAATTATAGTATTTCCTCTTTAAATTTGAAGTTTATCTAATTTTCGAGGTTTAAATCTGTCTCCTAAAGAATCTCAATTCATTAAATTTTATTAGGTTTGCGTGATGATCAGGATATATTATACAAATCGAAATGAACAATTGGGGCTTGATTTCCGTCAACCATAAGACGGTAATTTCCTATTTCTTTTTTAATATCAGCAAGACTCGAGTCTGTCGTGGATAGGAGCAATATTAAACAGGAGCAAGTTTAAAGCTCCGGGACGTCAATTGTAAGATAACTGAATGGCGTGAGCTGACTCTGCGTCGTTATGTAGCGTTCAGCTCGGCAGTCAATGCATTTCTTTAATACCGTATGCGGACCTTTGAACTTATTTCGAGTTGGCTGCTGATGGCTAGATAGCTTTGTTCTGACATGGTGGATAAATTTTAGACTAGATTACAGTCTCAGATACTCAGATAAGACTGCAAAATACTGAGCTTGATTCCGATTTATATAAGCAGGTAAATTTACCTTCGCCTTGTATCTGCGTAACTGGGATGAGAATTTTCTTGAGCGCGTCCGTTATGGAGGCGGAGATTCATTACACAAGATCTCTTCAAACGATATCGAACAATCGTACATGGTTACTGTACTGAGTTGCTGCAATTATATATATGGTCGTCTTGTTAGAACAATCGAGTTGTGTGCATTCCAACCATACAGAGCTCGGGTGTTTATTTCCTTCTTCTATACAAAAAAAACCTTAGGCTGAATTACGATTTGAATGAAAGCCGTGAGTTGGCTCCGTTAAAGAGAACTATGCCTTTTCAGTCTCTTTTGTTCGTTGCAAACGATAGCCCAATGCAATGATGCTGTCCATTGTCAGCTCTCTGCGCGCAATAACATATGAAAGTGATTCTTTTCCCGTGACATGATTTGCAGTTAGACAGTTAATCTAGCAAAAATTTCGTGTGCGCGAGTCTCGAACGTCACTATATCCCTTATCTACCATACAATGTGAAACGTACGGTGCTTATTTACTGTCAACAATTTCAGAGTTTGAGTATTGTCGTGGACATTTTAAATAATTTTATTGTTCCAAATATTCTTTGCAGTTAGTAAAAAGTTTCAAATTTGAGCGCTTTAAATTTTGAAAATTCACGATTTATTGCTCGCTATTACATAGCTCATATTTTCAGTTTAAACTAATTGATAAACCGAGATGCAAAGACAGCAAAGCCCTCAGTGATGTGAGCGCCCGATGCGCTGTCAACATCACTCTATAAGCCTTGATCGTCGCATAATCGACTACAGAATTTCACTAATTTATTATCATAATTTGACGTACTTACATTACTTTATTTAACCACTGCTTACCATTTGTCAATGGTTACGATTCGTAAACATTAGGGTTGGATGCAAAACAAAAGTAACGAATCAATACAACTAAATTTACTATCATAAAAATAATTGAACATGAGGAGTTATGACGAAACGCAATAGTAATGGAATCAAAATTTCGGTAAGTGACATACATAAAAAAAAACAGTTACGTGATTACCTACAGCTTGTGGGAGGAATGTTCAGCCCTATAGGTCCGACCTGTCAGAAGTGACTATAAGCTATATAAGCGCGGTTACATGGGCTTTACATTTCCTATTTCAAAAATATTGTTTATTTCAGAATATGAGGCAAAACGAAAATTCCAAAGGTTCAATTTGGTTATGAGGCTTAGCTGTCAAGCGTGGGAGAACGTGATCCCAGTCTACTAACGAGCCAAGCGTGGAAGTTAACATCGGGAGTGAAAAAAAAAGTGTTTTAAGAGATTGGGACGTATGCCTTTACCATTCAAAGCTTGAGAAAATGATGCAGAACTATAAATATCTATGGAAACTATTTAAGTAATTATACATTGCTAATATATCATGCCGCGACCATTCCAAGCCTATAGGCTACAGTAGATTCTTACAATTGTTATGCTAGATTCCCTTGCGATGACGGACTACTGAAATAATCGTTCAAATTTCTTTCTATCTAGAGCTCGTGCAGGGTCAAGCGCTGCATTCGTACATCCGCCTCCTCTGACGAACCCTGTAATTCAGCTCGTACCGCCATAACATTTGAAAACTTGCAAGGCTTCTAAACCTTAGTTGTAGATTATTCGCCCAGTTGGGGAGGTATTTTTGTGGAATATTTATTGTCTTCTTATTACTTATGAGTAAAATGTTTCTATGCTTAATTGGTTCATATTGTTCATTGTATTTCAGAATATACCTTCACATAATGAGTTTTTAACGGAATTAATGTATGTGGATGTATCCAAATGCGGCCCATGTTTGCACGTAGGATGTGACCACGAAGCTGTGCTCTCCAACCACAAAGCACGGATTGAACTAGCGCTCGCTCACTGGACTTTGGTTCATTAAATTACTGAGTTCATTTCGTGCAGTTCATCATGTTATCATGTGCGTTTGAGCTTTTGTGAAATGTTTTGATACAAAAATGATTATTTTGCAGGAATCGGTTATTTATTGATTATTCGAGTTTGATATATATTGTGTTTTAGATGCTTTACATCCAAAACGTGCTGAATCTAACGTAACGTGCTAAGTAGTTTGCAACGTGTGAGGTTTAGCCGATTTTTTATTCAAGGGTTCCAGAATTTTCAAAAATTTAACTTCAACAGAAGGTATTTCAATCTCCTATGACGCGCATTAGCTTAGCAATTTCATATGGAAGAACCTCTCACTGGGTTGCTGGGTTAAGAGATAACAATCTGTACTACATGGCGACGCCTAAAATGTTCCGTTAAGCGACCTTCTTGATAACCCAGCCTTCCGCTGCATCGCCTGAGGACTGAAGCTTCTGCTCGGCAGCTGTCTTGCGTCGCTGCATGTCTACTAGTTTGAACCGCAACTCTATTCCAATATTCAAACGTAGACTACGTATAATCTACTGATGTTCACGAATTGAAGCATTCCTCTAGGCACGCAATACATTCCTCTAGACACGAGCTCAGTTATTTTTTATGTATAGAACATTAAATTTTTGTCATTTCTTTTGTAAGCTCTGAACTCGTTTTGAATTATTTCATTTTATTTGGCTTATAATTCTCGAGCCTGACAATAGCAGTAATTGTTTCGTGACTAACTTGATTATTCGTAGTTTAAACAGCGTAGGCCGTCAGTGAACAAGTCGTCCAGCGACCAGAAATAAAGCGCGTGCCTCTAACAAACCGACGACTATATACAGCATGACTGTTCAATGGGGGATTACAGTCAAAGCCTGGCGTTTGTAAGCCATTTATGTCTGCCGTCTTCCCGTCAAGGTCGAAGCACGCCTTCTGCCACTTGCCAGCTTATGCTTAATCTAATAAATTCTGAAAGCACAATTCTTGATTTGGTCCTGATGAGATAATGAATAAATGGTATCAGTGCATTGATAAGATTGAATTGTCTCGGATCGGCAATTTTCTTCTTGTGACGCGTACAAGAAATAACATAATTATTATCTCTGCTTACGAGAAGGAATGTCTTGCAGGGCTATTGTGTCAAATTTGGGACCCATTGGGATTGTGTTGAATTGGAATTATATTTACTCGCATTGCGCAGATTGTAGTCAGATGCACCACTAACATATTGCTTATCAAAATCGATAATAATCTCTGATCAAATGTGCTGATTAATAGCTATAATGCTTCACATTCACTTGCTTACTCAAAAAGTATTTCAGCTATTAGTTTCGCTATTTAGCTGGGAAATTATTGACTGGTGTTGATAAACCAGTCTTGAATTTTACTCTCGCCACCTGTTGCACATAATCATCCAGCTGTAAAGATCACCGAGGATTCTGCCGAGTCCTCCAGAATGAGATTCAGGTTGTGCTCGTAACAATATATACTTGAACTTTGAGATTGGTGCTACTTTTATAATTGACAGTTTTCTTTTGTTATTTTTTTGGTTTATTCTTTCATTTAATCAACTAATAATCTTTCGATTATACGACAGTCTGCTTCAATAATTGGTGATTAAAGAAAATGTTTAATGCTCATCATATCGTATATTATTTATATTATTATTGAGTACCCTTAATTTTCATATGTTTGTTCGGGGAATTCCATTTATTCCAGAATAGTGTCTCCGTTTGTGCATTGCAACATTCTATAAAGAAAATTTTATGAGCTAATACCCTCAACAATTCTTTAACATCTGATGCAAGGGTCATGTTTTAGAACATTATACAAAGAAAATAATAGGAGTGAATACTCTCAACAATTCTTTAACTTCTGATGCAAGGGTCATGTTTTAGAATATTATATAAAGAAAATATTTGGAGTGAATACCGGTACTCCCAGCAATTTTTTAACTTAATTCTGATGCAAGGGTCATGTTTTATAGAGCCACGCCCGCGACCCTGGTTGTATGACTCTTTTGTTTAGGGTTCACCCTCGTTTGACCTGACACATGCATAGCGATCTGCTAACTTCGATCGATCGACAACATGTGTTGTCTAGAAGACGTGCTGTATTAATGAGACTTCTCAAATTAAATCATAGCAATTTTTTTCCGAAGTTCTATGGCAGAGTCATTGGGCCGTTTGTTGTTCTTCCTAACCTATATATTCAAAGGATGGCAACAAAATCTGGCATTACATAGATACCAAAATGGTAATTGATTCAATGAAGAAGAATTGATTTGCAGTTTGTTCAATAGTTCATTAGTAAAAGGATTTGTATTCTCGAATTACCTACTTTCAGATACCATGTTCTAAAAAACTTAAGTCACAAATCACTTTTATCTTATAAGATTTCAAGCTGTCTATTTTTGATGTTCATCCGTTGATGAGCATCCGGTTTTCCACGAACACGTTTTGTGATAAACGTCTGATAGATTTTAAGTTTATGTGCTGCTTCATTGCCCGCAACACCGTTTCGACGGCCATAAATTCTACAGCTTTAATCTCAAATGAAATTACTGGCAGCATCGTAAACGCTTCCATGCTCATGACGAAAGCGCGCGTCATTTAGTGTGCTAACTTTTGCTCGCTTTGCAGTTGGTTGAGCACGCTTGTTATTTCGGATCATTTTACGCGCTCGATTTTCATTATTGAGTTTGATTTTATTCGTTTCTGTAGTTATACGCTTGTGTCTCTCAAGCGTTGAGTGCATTTTATGGTTGCGAGGAGTTTTTCAGAAATTAGTCGGCTGATGCAATTGCGTTCCAGCGGCATGATAATTACATCCTACTATAAATTTCTCCACTTATTTTGCCGGACTAAGCATTGAATTTAGGTGCAAAAAATATATAAGGAGAAATTGACTCGCAATTACTAACTTTCACGCTCCAGCTCTGCTCTAGAGCTACGGGCATCTCGAGCACGCGTTGCAAGCGCTCCAGGGCTCTGCAGGTCAATGCAATGGACAGGCTGTCATGGTCGTTATTTATAACGCGAAACGGGATGAACTAATGGAAACTTTGTTCTTTTGATGATTTTAGTTCCTTTCAAAGGATCGTTTTCATATTCCCAGGTCAGTTTAATCCTAAAAAAGTTGTACTTGATTGAGGTATACATTGTATGCGGGGATTTCCTCTTGCTTCGGTTTCTAGATAACTATTCTATCAATAAAATTTATTTAACTTGAAACGAACCGTCGCAGTACAGCGATGATGTACTGTTCTCATATTTATACACACGGTGAAAATACAATGTAAGCTGCTTTTTTAATGTCGAGTGAAGTGCATTCCTCATTGCGTTGATAATTCCATTGGTGACACGGGCAGCCGCTCAAGCACGACCAGGTTCAGGGATGCTGTACAAATTCCTCTCATCGTAAATCCTTGTTAAATTTCACATTAGAAGAAAAACTTGTTCACTAGCTCTATCAGGAGCTATGTATATAATGTCTGTTAAAAATATATACAGTGTACCATATTTTTACATTGTACAATGGAAAAATATGTACAATGTACCGTACCACGTTGTCAATGTTCACAATAAACTAAGATGTCGAGTCTTTTTAGAATCTTGTAAATTCATTCATCGTTTAATGTAGTATATAGGCATATAATAATGTATATATATATATATATATCTTTAATAAAATATGTACAATGTATCACGTTGACGCTTCACAATGAACGAAGATGTCAAAAGTCTTTTTATAATTTTGTAAATTTATTCATCGTTTAATTTAATATAATACAGGATTATTCATTTCATTCCTAATTGTGATTCGTTCGTGATTTTCAGGTCTTTGTCCGATGATGATAGATAATCTAAGAAACGTTTCGGTGAGTAATAGACTTTGTAAACAATTAATAAGTAACTTTAATGTTTTACCTACACTTTAATAGGCTTAAATCTGAATAAACAAGAACTAGACTGCTCGATGCGAGTGCTCTTGTGTGTACCAGCTTGGATAATTTAATCGAAGTTTAAATCCCAATTACTTTCGTATAAAGGCAATTCGTTCGAAATACTATTATTCGAAATAGTATTAGTTCCTATGTGGAGTTTAATTTAAATCTTCCTACAATCACGTTCACTCGCACTATCTCTTCAAACAAACAAGCAAATCCCATTGCCATGACTCCGATTCCAGTTGTGAAAGCAAATCTTCGAGTGGAAGACGTATTGCTTTGCAACGCTTGCGTGTCTCTCAGAGCGTTCTGCTGCTTCTATTATATGCTTTACTCGTCTTATTTCGTTATCAGAATCAACAGTTAAATTCAAGTAGTGTGCGAGTGATCAATGTTTGAGAGTGTAATCTGGCCAGAAAAAGGTAATAGAATGAATACATCTTCCATTATCAACTGCCACTGCTCAGCTAAAAGCCAACATATCCTTTTTTTTTGTCCTGCTCAATGCAGAAATGCATCTGTCGCCGAAATAAGAACAACTTTGATAAAGAAGTAGTTCAACCTAAATTTTTATTTAGCTTTCAAGTCAAATATTGTCTTGCTTCCAAGACAAAACTATCTGAACTTTTTTCACCTCAAACTGATTTGAACCGCGTTAATAAGTCAAGCTGATAAGTTATATACTTATTAAGTACGACTGAAATGTAGGGTGAGCTGTGGCCTTGTAAGCGTCGGTTTGTACTTTGATAGCGAAGGATAATTTTCGAAAACTCCTCTAATTTCTAATCGCACCCAGTCACTCTGATAGTGCATCAATTTTCCGGGTTCATAACACCACCCAGTCTTATGCAGCTGAGCTTGAAGCGCATGCGGTTATCCAATCCTTTGTAAGTGTACGCGCTTGACTCCAAGAAAACCAGTCTAGCGGGTTTCCCTCTCCGCCGCCAAGGCGATGGCGACCAACAGGTACACGAGTTGTTCTTTGTGTATGTGAAGCTTGGGCGGCCGCTCGGATAAACTGTTGCATTGCATGAAGGCACGCTGTCTTTATGGTGCATATATTCTTAGAGTTAATTTTTATTGGTTCATACTGCAGGTGAAAGTGTGATCAACTCCTCACCTTTCGTTTCTGTAAACCATTCTTGTGGGAGAAAGGCTGTAATTCGGTTGTGTGATCCTATCTGGAATACTGAAAATTTACGAAGGAAATGATTAGCTTGCATGTACATTCTCCTTCGCTCATCAAAGAATGGGTTTCAATTTCACAGAGAGGAGCAACTTTAGACTGAATGATCGACGTACGAAGTGGGAAATTACTCAAAGTTTCTTATTCATCTCGACGAGTATAGTTGTTAAAGAGGAAGTTGAAATTATTAACTGTTTAGTTTGTTTTTTATTATAAATATAATTATAGCTTTCAATGCACCATGATCATTCATCATATCTTGGGTAAACGCCAATCCATTCCATTGTAAATGATCCTCCTATCAATTTTCTATATATTTTTATTTTACTCTAATTATTCAAATCTTGGGGTCCAAGCAATGCAAGAAGAAATGCTGTATGTGCTCCCGTTAACATTGATCCTTTGATTTTTACGTAATCTCACCTTTCGCTTACATTACATCAACGGACCGCGCCATGTGTCTTTCAGCATTAGCGGCCCTCACGATGATTACTTTTTGAAATAACCATGAAAGATTTTTCGTCCGTCCATAAAGAGAGCTGTGGTCGCACTTGAGTTCGACAATGTCGTTAGTCTGGATCAAAGTTCAAAGTTAATTAATTTGACCTAACTAACTAACGTACTCGTCAGCTCTCGTGTCGATGAAATCGAATGTATATAGGTACGAAATCTGCGTTAGAAAGAGAAATTATGCGTTCATTGCTTCAGTATATCTACCATTTTTTCCTACTTAAATGGTTTGCGTAAATCGGTCTTGTGTTGCTGACAGAAACATTTTTCTTTATTGGTATTCCTATAATTATAGGGTGCTGCTAGAGTATATATTTTGTGCTATTTTCTGATTCTTGCCCCAATGCGTTTGCTTCTATTGTTTCCTTTCGTATAATGATGCAAAATTTGTTTCTTTATTTGAAATTCAAATAAACTTTTTTTCGACCCAAAAGTATTGATTCTTGATATTTTAAAATTTTAAAAAATTTTTAAATTTTTTACATTTTTAAATTTTTTTAAATTAACTCACCTAATTTCATGGTATAAAAAAATAATTAGATGAAGAAATTATTGTGTGTAGTGTTGTGGGAGGTCAAGAATTGTACGGGTATTAGCAATGACTTGCTTGGTGATGCAAGGCACTGCACTGAAAAGCAAGTTAGTGAACTTAGAATCTCTTGTTACCTCTATACATATACGTAGTTTGATCTCGTGTGAGCAATATCTATGTATGGTCGCACATTTTACGAGATCGAAGTTGAGAACCCTCCACGCTACTAAAAGTGTCTTCCCCCATTTTTCCGTACTAAACTTTTAATTCAAGAACTAAAAATTTTTAATTAGAATTAAAAATCTATTAACTTTCACGCTCCAGTTCTGCTCTATAGAGCTACGGGCATCTCGAGCCCGTGTTTCAGACGCTCCAGGGCTCTGCAGGTCAATGCAATGGCCAGGCTATCATCGACGTTAATTGATAACCGAGTAATCGTTTTCTGATACTGCGAATTCATTCATATTTCAATTAAGTATTTGTACACAAAATTTATTCTTCTGCTAATAGGGTTTTGCTTGTGGTTTTCAGGTTCGTGTCTGGTGATAGATACCTCGAATAACGGCTTCGGTGAGTATTAGATATAAATAGTAATATTTTTTGCTTATATATTTGTAATTTTCCGCATTTACGAGCGGAGTTATAATGACAATACTTATAGTGTTAGATTCTCATTGGGATCCAGCCAAGCCTACCTGAGGGCTCGCGGTTCTCTATCGCAGGCTCAAATCTGAATGTATTTTAATAAACGAAAATAGGCTGGTCGCTACGAATGCCCATATGTGCACTAGCTTGTATAATATAATCATACCACATTCAAATTAATTTTGTACGTCGACTAATGGTTCGCAATATTCAATTTTTTATTTATATAGAGTTTTAATTGATTTATCTATCAACTATTTTATGTTCCAATTCAGATCGGTAGGGTTCAAGTGTATATTAAAGTAACGATACTGAGATAAATTTTGTAAACTGTGGTAGAAAAAGATTTAATGTTTTGCTTTGATTTTATATCATAATTTTATTTTCCTAATAGATTAAACAAAAAAATCATAGCACATTTCATTCAATGATGTAAAATGCTCCCCGCGCCTCTTCCTTTTCTTGCGCATTTTGACTTGTTTATCCTGAAGAGGATGCACTTCCTCCACCAACTGTCGAGCTCTTGCGACGTTTTTGTGCTTAATTCTGCCAATTAATGTACGAAAATACTCACAAAAAGGCCACATATTTCTGCAGGATGATAAGACATCATCAACAAATCCAGTATATCTTCCTGTTATGATAGTAAGCGCTCACTATCAGAGTAAGTCATTGGCTCTCCTCCTGAGGCTCTACACGTAAGATGAAATCTAAGACTTGTTGATTTTATCCATAGGCTTTAAGAAATTGGGAGTGTTCGGCTCTAAAATCAGAGTACCGTGCTCTAAAGTCCTGTAATCCTCGTAGGAGAGTTTCAATGCAGTTCCTAGTACACTAGTACAGCGAGCCTTGGCTTTCATTGTTTTTGTCGTTTGATTTTCAATCAATCATTGCTAATTTTCTTATTCAATTGTTGAGCGAAAATCGTTGCTCGAGTTCAGGATTCCCGGATCAAAGGGTGATGCCAAAAATCGCCCACGCTGTGATAGATGCCAGATATCGCCAATATGTTCGATTGTTGAGGTTCAAACTCCTCAATTTGAAGACATACTTAAAAATTGCGACATAGCAGGATCGACTTGCTTAAAATGTACTTTTTTGATTCTTAATTTGTCAATGAAATAAATGGTCTTTTAACTTTGTCTAGGAGATATTCGCCCCCAGATAGTAACAAGTAGACAATTCTCAGGTTGTTAATTCTATGTAGTTTTTGTAATTTTTTGTTTGGACTGATCAGTAATGGTTTTAGAATGCATTGATTTCAGTCTAGAGTTTCCTTAATTGTGTTTTAAAATATTCTGAGTCTTTGCTCCATATTGCGCTTGTTGTGATCCTGTTCTGAGGAAAGGATATCGTGAGAAAAGGATATCTTTGCGATTGATAGATATAATTTGCAATCATGGACAGCCGGTACTTTTAGAATAAATTTTTTTCTAGAATACGATTTTCTTACAACATAAATTTTTTCCGATTAATTGTTTACCTAAATTTTTGTGCGTCATTTTGCATAGCGTCAGAAATTGTACATGTACGCATGCTAATTAGGCGCTTGATTAAAATTAAAAATTCGTGTTTCTCGACTTGAAAGACTTGTTCTACTGGTTCGTTGCTAATCTCTTCAGCTGAAATCACGCAACGACGGAAAGAAATCGCGACTTCAAAATATTCTCTGATCCGTTCATGTGAACAGAGGAAAATCTGCCTCATTGATGTGGCCTCCATTTCCTTTCATTAGAAGACGAGTTCATTATAAATCTTCGAAAACAATTCGGAGATTGTTAGATGATATTAGCATCTCTGCAGTGCACTTCTATCGAAATGAATGTTGCTTAAAGAAAGTCTATCATGAGCTGAGAGGCGCGTGCAATAAGTGCGTGTCATTTAACTTCCATTTAGTGTCTATTTAGCCTCTATTTAATGAGCGGGTGAAGGTCTCAGGGTGGGAAGTGAATGTTTTTGCGGACTCTTAGGTTCCGGCGTGAAATGTCACAACCATTAAGGAGCCGTCGAAGAGTTCACACGTGACATTACAATACGTGTGATGCGCAATTTATGTTCGTAGTTCCTTGACACATCTTCATGTTTTCATTGTGGATAACTGGAACTTATAATTTGATTCCCTCTTTTTCATTATCTCTACGCTTCCCCCAAATAACCCTTATCGTCGTACAACCAATTGATTAACTTATATTTCCAAATGATATTATTGGGAGGCGTTAGACACCAATTGGAAATACTGTAATTAACTCCGTTTCTGGACTTTCCTCGGTCTCCGTTTTTGCTCGCTTCGTCGTCCAATAAATGGCCTCAAATTTGAAATTTTTAGGTTGAATATAGTTCGCAAATGATTTTCAATTCATTTCAGCATTTAAGAATTCATTTCTTGAGATTTTTTGGACACGCCGAAAAGTTGCTGGAGAGAGGAACCTGACAGCATTGTCTGCGGTGCGGGATTATGTCCACGAAACGTGAACTCTCGAGTGACCGTGCACAATCATAGTCAGAATTTTTGTCCGTCTATATAACAACTGATATCATGGTCAGGTTTCACAGTATAATCACGTATCATGAATCATACTGAAGCTTGTGATCAATGCAGTCACCCGTACACTAGATCATTTTACGATTGTTTCCGCTGTCGTGTAAATTCCTGAACAATTTTACAGATATTAGGACAATCAATTGCACTGTAATGAACTCGTATATTTTGTGTATCATCTGTACTAACCTCTAGTTTTTCCAATTGGCAAAAAATTTACGCACAACGTGAGCGCCTGATGTGAAGAGTTCGCACGTCATATGGAAATGTTCGGATGTCATATGGAAATGTGAGTTCGCACGTCTTACGGGAATGTAAGTTTGCACGTCATATGGAAGTACGAGTTAATCGTGGTCAAGACACTCGGTACGTGTCTGGGACTCGACATAACGTCGGAGGTCTTCGACCGGCACGAGACGACGAACGGATGAACTACGAAGCAACGCCGCAATTGCGGATGCGACGCTGACTTCCTAGCTCAAGCTTCCGACAAATTGCTTGAACTTCTCATCGTGATTGTGGTTTGCTGCGTGTCATGAATCTTCCCGCTCACATATTTGTTATTCTCCTGAGAGTTGTCCATCATTGCATGTCTGTAATCCGACGTCGTATAGACTTACTAACTTAACTAATTATAATATCGATAGCCTCTTATTTATATTCTGTGAGCATGCACTATCGATGTACTATTAATTTTCTCGAATAATTTCACGTTGAATGCCTTATTAACTCCTTTGACTGTTATATTGTGACCCGCATGACACAGCTCCACGTAGAAGAACAATTTGCTTTCTTTGCAACCATTCACCGTTTTTCAGCTCCCGTAATATTATGCAGAGCACCGCCATTACAAGCGTCCTCAGGCGACCTGTGATTATCACTTGCTGCTGTTTTACGAGTGTCGTGTGATGATCATGACCTGCATCATTTATGCTCAGCACCCATGTAGCGGTTCATGGCGTAATACGGGACTGTTCGAGATCGAGACGATCTCTTTGCATATCGAATTTTTATTTGCAATTAACAGTACTTGTCCAATAATTTTACTTCGTGCAATTCTAATTTATCGAAATTTTTGTACTTGACTTGCATCTTTCACTGCACCTTTCAAAAGCCTATCAGCATCTTTATTCACTTCACACAATGCATGCATTAGAATTCCGGGTTATGTTGTAGGTACGTACAGAAAATTTTTGACTTCGTGGTAATTCAAGATTTTTTATAAATTGAGTTCATAATTATTAAAGCTTGTCTATTCCAGAATGTCTGCCCTATCTGTGCTTTTTCGGAATGAATATTCCTAACCCAAGATTGCACGCAACACTGCAATGTACCCTCGTGCTCTGAAATTATCCTCCTAATAAGCTATGCTTCAAGGGGAGGTTTCCCCTCAAAAATCGTAAAAAAAATATATTTTTCGTTTTTTTAGATCATTTTGTAGGTACGGAAAAGGCACATCGAGCGCAGCAATTAGTTTTTGCATTAGTTTTTGAAATTAGTTTTTACGCGAGGCATTTTTTAAATTTATATCAATTGAACATGTTTAAACACTTTTTGCAAAATTTCAGATAATTATATTTATAATTATTATTCGTGCTAATTGAGCTGGTTTTGAGCTAATTTTTTAGGTGCGGAAAAGTCGCGTCTAACTTAGCAACCCGTGTGCATGTGCGTGCTTTAATTTTTGCTTTAAGCAGTTTCAAATTCATATAAAATGAGCAATGTTTACCATTTTTTACAAAGATTTCTTTCCGGAAAATTTTAGTATAGATTAATAATTTATTATTTACGTTAAAGGGAATAAAAACGTGTCATGCAGCGAGTAATACACGATTAATATCCTCAATACGAGAACTAGGCAATGGGAGAGCTGGGGATACATTATCAAGTAAATTTTTTATACCTTAATTATTTTTTTTATCTTTTTCACTTATTTGGTTTTCCTGTACAATTGAAATGGTCGTTATTGGTCACATTTTAAATCTATCTTCTCATTTAATTTTCATGCTTCAACATTGAGAGACATATTCGATTCTTAAGGAGAATATCTAGTGGTTCTAGAAGCCCTTTTTTTCTTATTTATGTATTGTTTGGATTATATATTGTAAAAAGCACGAGGTAAAGGGGTGGTAAGGGTGAAAAAATGAAAGCTTCCTCTATAAAAAATCAATTTATAAATAAGGCAACTTCTTATAAAAAATCAATTTAGAAAAAGGCTTATATAGTTGATAGATATTCTCATTACGAATCGATTGATGTGTCTCTATATGCTGTAGTTCATAAATCCAAAAAGGAGATTTATAAAGGTTCATTTTTGACGTTTTTAATGTATTTAAAGTTTTCTTTCATTTTTTGAAACAAAAACATATGAGCAAAAAAGATTCTC